ACTAGGCCTCTCTTAGGTATGACAGCTGGCGGGGTGACTGGGCCAGTCACTCTCTCTTAGCCCAACCCACCTCACAGTGTTGTTGTTGTGGGGAAAATAGGAAGCAGGATTATTAGGTATATTCACTGCCTTGAGATAGATAGATAGATAGATAGATAGATAGATAGATAGATAGATAGATATAAAAAGATAGATAGATAGATAGATAGATATAAAAAAGGCAGGATAAAAATCTAATAATAATAAAGTACAAAGCTAAACATGAACTAGATGCTCTGCAAACATATAGGCCTATACCATCAGGAGCCAAAGATATGGCCATTCATACTAAATTAAAGCTTAATTTTATCCAATTATCTCCTTCACCCTTTGTTTCTGGGATTATAGCCCTCTGCTTCTATTTCTCAGCCACACACGTAAACTGTTACTGGTCTATAGATTTTGCTAACTATAATTACCCTCTCAATTCTTGAATACTTGGGCCTGGCGATAATGAACACACTGCTTCTTTCCTTTTCCTTAGATTTTAAATATATCTAAATAAGCTCTTTTTGTAGTTCTTAGCCTCCTTCACCCTTCTCATTCCATTCAGAATTTAGCTTTGCTGACATTGTCTCTGCAGTTCTGACCTGACCTGTGTGTGCTCTTCCTTGCTGGGCTGCCAGACACTTCTTTCCACATCCCATATATAGTCTTTTTTTGTTTTCATATCTTCACTAAAGACACACTGTTTTTTTTTTTCCCTGCTGTCTTTTCTTTTTCACTGGAGTTGATTGTAATTATGATTTTTCTAGCACCTTACATTTTAGTATCTTTCTATTGGTATAAATCTTTACTTAGCTCTAAATCCTTTTGTCAGAATAACAATTTCACAATCGAAACAATTTTAGTGAATATCTTGATATTGTGTCTCAACAGTTAAACATATCAATTAAAACAACACATAAATAAGACAATGAAAAACTTAGAATAAGCGCACAAGCAAAGATTTTATACATAAAAGGTAACATGGAGATACAGGCTTTCTTCATCATTACTTACTTTAAGTAAGAAAGCTAATTCCAGCCAAGATTTTTTTTCTCTAGTTTGTACTTTTATTTATTTAGACATTTCCCTGAAATTTTATGACAGTACAAAAATGTTTCATAAAACTAACACTGAAATTGATTTAAAAAAACATACTTACCTATGTGTTTCAGTCAATTTATAAATATTACAGCCAACTATTCCATACAACCTCACACTTTTACCCCAGTCCCTATCCTTCAAAATTGAATTTGCACTGTCTCAAATATCTCTGGCTACTTTGCTTCCTCTAACTTTCCCAAAGAATATGCACAATATTTTTCCTGAAACAGAGAAACAGGCTATAAATTCAAAACCACTGCAGTTGTCATATTTCTATATCTATTATAACTAATAGTACAATCTTATACATGTATACCCAGGTATTTGATGGGATTGATTTTCAGTTAAATGCAAACAGTATCATAAACTAAAGATGTTTGGACAGAGCTACAATTTTAGCTAGTAATTATGAATGCATAGATTGTTTAGTTGTGCTTATGTTACATTAACAATAACAATATATGCTTATATCTTGGTTTTTATGAGATTATAACATATGTTGATCTTTTTTTCTCATTTTATTAGTTTTGTTTTAATGTGTATCAGGTTTTTAATTAAAATGCTATGAAGCTCTTCAACTGTTTCAGGATTTAAATAACATAAATAATGTGCCAGATCACAGCCAATTGGTGACCACATCTATCATCAAAAGGTTTCCAATAGGCTCTTTATAAAACAATAATGCATTTTGACTTGAGACAGTTAAACAATGAATTGCTATAAAAATGAATCTATTCTAGAAAAACAAATCTCACAACAATTATTTACACTTGATATACCATTTAAACATCAGTACCAAGTAATAAATAGATAATGGGGGAAGTGTTTATACATTTCAGAATATATTAAATATAGAAAAATATATCAGTGTCTTTGTACCATTAATATGGAAACTTCTGATTGACCATTCAGAGCAGTTTTAAAGAAGTTGTACAAGCAGCAGAAAGGTATGTAAGCAAACTTCAGCACAACACTGCATTAGTGTACACCATTTCACACAATCCTATTAAGAAAACTTTTATCGTTATAAAACAATGAATACTAAAAAAGTACCAATTGATGTGGGCTAATCAAAAAGTTGATTAGTAACATTGTTTTTAAGGAACTGCTATTCTAGAACAATAACCTAAGAATGATAGATAATGGACTGAGTTACTTTTGAAAATTAAAATATAGCATTATACAAAGGACACATTGCCTTACATGAAAAACACACTGATCCACCATTTTAGCAACTGCCCAATGCACAGTGAGTGCTATCCTGAAGTTTTTCTATTCCAAAGGAGGGCAGCTGGTAGCCTCTGCCCTTAAAATATTCCAGGGCAAGGTGATAGTTCAAATGTTGCATAGGGCTGAAATCTGGGGTGGAATGAGAAGGTTAACATTCAGTTGGAAGTAGTCCAAAACAAATCTCATGACAATTATTTATACTTTGAAACACCATTCAATAAAGATGCACCACTGCTGCTTATCTGCGGATGAACGTAGGGCTACCTTCCATTTCCATTACAGTACACCTTGCACTGTTGGGGCATTATAAGAAACTAGAAAGACTTCAAGAATTCCACCTTGCCAAATTTTGTTTTCTCATTATACAGCTGGGAATCAATGGACCAAACTTTTGTCGCCTATCCTACAGATGTAATCCCTATCTGTTCTGGGGACCTTGGAACAGTTAAAATATTACATAGACTTCTTGAAAGGGATGGCAATAAATATGAAATTGCAGAATAGTTATCTAAACATTCATCCTGATAGTATAAAAAATATAAAAACCTCTCATAATACCTGGTTAATATTGTCAGTGCCTCACTGAGAAAGGCATTTATATTCCTTCACCTTATATCTTATATCCAGCATGCTTCATAATTTTGTTTCCTTATTTTGCTTCATTCTATTTTATGCTATGTAACGTTATACCTTCTTGTTACAACAATACACCTACTTACTTACTGACAATCTGGAGCAATGGTTAGTAGATAATTGGATCATTACTAGTTCATGCTGTTAATGAATGAAGATATTTCCTTTTTAGGTGAAGCAACATTTACAATTACTCTTAAAGGAGAAAAAAAGTATTTCCAGCTGCTATGAGGAAATGAACCCTAAATTTCAAACCCTTGTTTTCCAGTGGCAAAAGGAAGAAAGAGGGAAGATTTCCCCTTGGATATCCTAAACTATCTTAAGAAAAAAATATAATTGATTTACAGATTATACTAGCTTGTATACCCTTTCCATTATTATGAACCTTACAGTAATTTCCAATAATAAACTGGGAAATGCTTTCCAAAGGTAACCAGAACATTAACATTTCTGTCATGTCATCACTTTCTTGCAGTCTGAATTTATATATTGTTCCAATCTGAATGTAACTTGTTTTATTTTGATTTAGTTTCAGCACAATATGTACTGAGCCACTGTAGTTTATATTCTGATTTAGTATAGATTTTTTATGGTTTAGTATAACTCACAAATCCAACTAATTCTGTATTCAATTAATCATTGCTAACAAACTTGTCTTACCACAACATGAGAATGGAATCAGCACAAGGTTTGGCTTTGGGTTTTTTTTTTGCCTTTGAGCCCGTCTTGTCTTCTGGCAACTATATGGACAAGTCCATGTAGTTTCCCAGGCAACATTTTCAGAAATGGTTTGTCACTACATTCTTCCTATGGCCAAAAGAGTGTAACTGGCCCAGAGCCACCCAGTTGCCTTCTGTGCCTAAGGCAAAACCAAAGCTGAGCTACTAGTACAAGAGATAAATATAGTCCAATGGATAACTATACCAAGCTAGCTCAAATGTAAGAGACATGCTTTTCATACATAGCTCCAGGCTCAACAGCTTGCTAGATAGTATAGATAAAATTGCATTAGCCTTCCTTAACCAGGAGCCTATGTGATGCATTAGACCACAACCCTATGATCTGTAATCACCAGAGCCAGTGAAAGTAATGTCTGGGTTCACAAGAATGCAGTCCAGGACCTATGAAGGGTGCCAGGTTGGAGAAGACTGCACTAGATAAACTGACTATGTGACATAATGAGGGTTCTTTGTTCTCTATTGGCGTATTGAAAAAAAAGCACAGTCCAGTACAGTTATCAATGGTGCACCCAACCCTATGTTTACTTTTCAGGAAGTAAATATCCACGCATGCACAGTAGTTTTCTACAACATAGGCATTCTAGTTCAGTTTGCACAACATGCTGTGGGAATATGGTCAGCTAGTTTACGGTTAAGTGTGCCATTCACGTTCAGCCTTGTTTATGGTTTATGGTTAAATCGGACTTGTTTATGGTTCAGTGCATTTTTTGTGAACTCCAGTAATTAGATTAAGTAAACAATGGTCAGCAAACCTAAGTTACTGTATTGCAGAATACAACCTGTTCTTTTTCAACATTAACATAATTTGCTTCTTTTTAAGTACATATATTCTCCTTCAGAAGGCAAATATTGTAGTTGATTGGCACTCACCCAGGAGAAAAAAGGCCTCAGCACTGATATTAGGAGGAAATTACTGTAATTACATTATTTTATTTTGTAAATTAAAAGAAGTAATATTTGATTATCCCACCATAAATGTACCTTACTGAACATGACCTCTCAGTGAGGAACTGTGGAAGATCTAGTACTAGTAACTCTATGTGGGTGAACACTGTTAATGATCGTCCTCAGGATATTATTCTGCAGCACATACGGATCCTTGTTATTCTCGCACTTTTAAAACGTCCGATTTAGCCTTAAATACAGCGCCTGCCCTGCATTGAGTACAGCAAAGTTAACCAGAGACGCCACAGTCCAGGCTCCACATCTTTTTTCTTTCCACGCCGAGTTGTCCCTTAAGGCTAGTTTTGGTACACTTCTTTCAAGTACCTGAAATATCAGGTTTGATTTCTCAGAAAAGCAGACCCAGAAAAAACATCTCAAAAACGCGCGAGGCGAGGCGGAAGCATAACCGGTTCCTGTGATTCTGGAGGACGCCAGCTTGTACTTCCTGTTCATGACAGACAACTCCCACAAGGGGCATGGGGCCAGCTACCACCCCAGAGGCTCTCTTCTCGGCAGATAGCCACAGCCGTGCCGTCGACACCGCCTGGGGGGAGACGGAGGAGGAGAGCGAAGTTGTCCGCGGAGCCCTCTGCTTCCCAGGCGCATTTAAGGCCAAGGACACAGACCAGACAGGCGGGGGGAGAGATTCCGTGTCCTGCACTGCCCGTCCCTTCTCACTCTCACACACCCACACCTGAGGGGAGTCAGAAGGGCTTGTCACCGCCTGATCTGAGGGGAAGAGGGACATGCCTGCCGTCGGCGTACGCAAAAGCAAAGCGCAGCGGCTACACGTACCTGCAGTTCCGGGAAAGGGGGCGGGGCAAAAACTGTTACCGAGAGACGCACCGCCGCTTCTCCTCTTACTGTTTTGCTATGGCTTGTCCCGCCCCTTCCGTTCCTCCAACGTTGAGACCAGGCACATTTCGAGCCCTACTTCCGGTTCCGGTGACCCGGCGTAGTCAAAGCAGGGAGCCGAAAAGTTCGCGATTTTTTTTCTCCTGCTCTCGCCGCCTCCCCCTCTCAGATCGAAGGGGGGATGCGGCGTAAACGCTGAACATCGCGCGCGTCTTCACCCAGAGCATGCCCTGATCGATAGGGACTGGTTAGTCGGGGCCATTGTATTTGAGGTTTGTCCGTATTTTCTCTAGTTGCGGAATGAGCCTCCAATGTTTACCTTCCCCAGAACAGCAGAGTCCATTGCCCCAGAAAGAAAGGGATTGACAGTTAGCTAGAAGTGATGCATCAGGTGTCTGGTTGCCTCGGAAGTACTTTTGTCTTGGCTGAGTTCACGCAGCGTGCGAAATCTTGGGGTGCGGGATGTAGACTGCAGAAACACGGTCAGCCATTAGGTGGCAGCAAAGGGGCACAGAAACACCTGCTTTTGCTGCCATCTGGTGGTCATCCGGATTTTCGCAGCTCAGATCTGGTAGCCCTAGCTAAATTATAGTTTGCTTGGCCATGGCTTATTGAATAACCACACTTGGCTGAATGTGACCAGAAACTTAAGCTGTAAACTCTGGTTTACAAATCACAATGAGTTCAAATAACACAAGCAAATAAGCTACATTTGGGCTTAATGTGTTGTGTGAATTAAACCACCGAGTCTAAACAGCTGACTCCCAAATAATTCCTGTACACTTTGTTTTTTAATTAACCTTTTCTAATGTAGATGTACTTCTGAATATTTTGGATATGATTGGAATTTCCTGGGGCTCATGAAAACAGGATAGCAAGTGTCTGAGTTTTAAAAACAGAAAACAGAATCTGATATTTGAGATAACTCTTAAAGCAGCATGGTGTTTGCTGTACAGGCACTCATTTGGTGTCAGTTTTGAAGAGACATCTGTCAAATTCAGAGGTTTCATCAGAATAAAATAACATGAATTGTGATACACTCTCTATCCTTTACATTTGTTTATATGCACACAACTTTCTAATGCATGTAGAAAAGGGTAGAGTTTCTGTTGCAGCCAACATGTTATCATTTATTCAACTTGACCCCTCGCATGGACACCCATGGTTTTAGATAGTCTTAATTTTTATGCCTTTCCTGTTTGTTACAATATGTATTAGCACAATTCAGTCCTATTCTTAAACTTGAGTATTCAAAATTTGGGGTGTAATCAGCAGGTGACGGCACCTAGCTACCTTGTCAGGACTCAGAAGATAAGCAGAATTGGGATTGTTAGTACTTTGTTAGTACACCCGGGAATTGTAGGGCTGTAGCTGAATTGGGAACTTAAAGAACATTTTGAAAGAAGACAGTATTAAACCATTTCTGTTTTGCTGCCAAGGTAACAACATGGGCATGTACATGGTGGGATGATCGATACTGCTCACCCCCATAATCTTGAATTGTATATAGGCTTTTTATATAGAATTGTTACTAGTTATTTTAATATGGATATTTATATTTTTATTGTTTTTATTGTGTCAGATTTTAATTGTAAGCCGCCCAGAGCCACCCTCTGGGGGAGATGAGCAGCATATAAATTTAATAAATAATAATAATAAAAAGTGGTATAAGGAGTCAAGCTTAACATGTGTGATTGGAAGGAAAGTTTACTGTAGATTAGTTTCATATAGCCTCTAATACAGAAATAAATAGCTAAGCATCCTCTTAAAAGTAACTTGTAGATTATGTATTTTTGTTATATTGAACTTAAGAAAGTAGTTTTCATCTTCTCCCAGTGTTTTTGAATAGCTATAGTTTGAAATGCCTTTTTGGACATTTTTTCATGCTGATTCATCCTATCTTGATCCAACTTCAAAGATAGCTGCCTACTATTTATTGTTTATTTTACATATATTTACTGTGATTATAGGACCCTTAGCTGGGGGTGGATGGTCTTTTGATTCCTTTCAGTTTGCTTTATGTTTAAAGGCTATCTTGCCAGCCAAACATAATACCTAACTATTGTGAAAACCAGAAATTATAAAAACTTGTGCTTTCTGATTGCTAAGAAATAAAGCAAATCAGAATACAATGTACAATGAAGCTGGCAGTTTCAGAGACTGTTGGTGAGTTTAGAAAGAACTAGCACTGAAAAATGCTGAGCTCAGAGGTATCACTCCACATTGTGTGGTGCCACAGGGTTTAGTACTTTCTCCACTCCTGTTTAACATCTACTTGAAGCCACTGGGTGAGGTCATCTGTAGCTATGGGGTGAAGTATCAGTATACTGATAATACCCAGCTGTATATCTCTGCCCCTGGTAAAGTAAGCAGTACTGTTGATATCCTGTCCCAGGGCCTAGAGGCTTTAGGGATTTGGATGGGGAACAATAGGCTTCAGCTCAATCCTGGCAAGACTGAGTGGCTTTGGGGTATGGAGCTACCAAGATAAGGGAATTTACTGTCTTTAGTTCTGGATGGGGTGGCACTACCCCAGGCAGACTCGGTGCACAATCCAGGGGTCCTTCTGGACTCACGACTCCTGCTCAATAAGCAGGTGGCAGTTGTGGCTAGGAGGGCCTTTGCACAACTTCGGGTTGTGTGCCAGTTGCGCCCATTCCTGGACCAGGAGGCCCTATGCTTAGTCACTCATGCCCTGGTCACCGCCTGCATGGATTATTGTAACACAGTCTACATGGGGCTGCCCTTGAAGAGCATCTAGAAGCTTCAGCTGGTACAAAATGCAGTGGCGTGGGCAGTTATATGTGCACCTAGATCAACACGTTACACCTCTAAGAACTACATCAGTTTGTTCTTGGGCTCAGTTCAAGGCTGGTAATGACCTATAAAGCCCTATATGGCATGCGGCTGAGTTATTTCAGGGACCACTTCTCTCCAATCACATCTATCCATCCCATCAGGTAGGGCATGTGGCAGGTCCTGTCTGCAAAGTAATGTCATCTGATGGGATCCAGGAGTACATATTGAAAGGGATGCACTGGTGCCTGCAGCTTCGAGCGTGCTAGGCAAACAGCTGGTGTATTCCCCATTGTGTGCCTGCTTACTCTCTTGTAATCCTTTCCTCCCCAATCTCTCCACTCTGGGGGGGAGGTAGAAGAAAATGGGTCAGGCACAGGAGAGATTGTCTTAAGAGAGCGCTTGTTTAGGCAATCTCTCTTGTGCATGACTTTTTTTTTCTTTTCTAGACACCTTTACTAGAAACTCTTAGAAACTCCTGGAAGAAGAACAGGCAGGATTTTGGGCAGATCATCTGTGTTAGATCAAGGTTTAATACTCTCAATTGATTGAAAAATATAGTCAGACACCTAAATCAACACTTTTTGCCTTGTTTGTAGATCTCAAGCAAGGTTTTGACTCCATTTCTAGAGAAACTCTTTGGAATAAATGCAAAACATCTACAATTGATATATTGTTACTCACCATCCATAAGAACAGCACTTTGAGGGTGAGATGCACTATAGTCAGGCACCTTACAAACAGGAACAATCAACAAGGGAGTTAAATGCGTGTATTTTGGCCCTATTACTTTTTAATTACTCTCTTAATGTGATGCTAGGTGCCCCAAGCAAGAAGTTTCATCCCCCAAACTGACTAACAGATCTGTATCTATACTGCTTCATGCAAATGCTGCTTCATATTGTCCCAGGCTCTGGTAAGTCTTAAAAGAGCTGTGGGAGCACTGGTTCACTTTTGTAGGGAACATTCATTATAAACTATGAGAAAACAAAGCTGATGCATTTTGCGAGGGGCTTCAAAAAATTCCATTCAACCCTCAAACAACACAAAATAGAACAATTCCCTTGTTTTAAGTACTTGGTTTTGTGCTGCATGATTCAGAGAAGCAATACACTCATATCTGATATTATCCCAGTTGCACTGAATACTCAGAGGAGTTCAGGAGGATTCTTCTTTTTTTATCCAGAAACACACAGTATGTATTAGCTGCTTTGAAACTTTTTGAAGCTAAAATACTGGCACAGTTCCTGTATGGAGCTGAGTTAAATCCATATGTTAACTATGAGGAATCAGAGAAGGTCTAGGTAGCAAATTATGTGCCTAATGTTCTACATTTGGGAGCTTATAAAAATCAAAATGAGGACATGCTATGAGTATGCAGTTATTGGCTAAAAGGTTACTCTCATCCCCAAGGTCTGATACATCTTATCATATTAGACAAATATTATTCCTCTTGGAAATTCCTAATAAAAGACAAATTACAAAAATGGGGATTTTCAAGTGAGATGTTGATGCCCTGAGATAAGATTAGGCAATGGTAGCTCTCAAACAAAATGATTCTTAATATAGAATTACAAACAGGATATAGCAAGATGTCACTTAGAGATCAATTCAGTCAAAATACATTTTATATCAAACCAGCATTACATTTGGACCAACTTACAAACAATACATTTTGAAAGAGCTTTAACTATTGCGGTTTAATATTTTCCCATCACCAGTGTTGGAGGGCAAATATTGCAAAATAGTCTATGCTGAAAGGCTTTGTCCTTATAAAGATGGGTGTACTGAATCATGGGATCACTTTCTGCTTTATTGTAACTTTTACTGAGACATTTGCAATTAATTACTACTTCTTAGCCCATTCTAAGTGTGGCTTCTTTTAGATCCCAAAATAACTCTTGCTGTTGCAAAGTTATTTGTAGCTTGTATAACTTGCATGTTGCTGACAGCAAAGTAGATTAAACACAGATAAAGGTCTTTTTACTATGCATGCTGTAGTGTACTTTGTATTATACACTGTATTTTCTTTTATGCAGTCTGGGGCTGTAACCTCATATAGTTTGATTTATTGACACAAATATGCAAGTATTATATTAAAATAAAAGCAACACAAAATGGATTATTTAAGATTTTTTGTTTAATAGGTGATATATATTAACAAATTGTATCCCTATATAAAAAAACCTATTTCTCATAATAGTTTAACAACACTTAATAGTTGAATATAAA